TTTTTTTTTTGAGATGGAGTCTCGCTGTGTCGCCCAGGCCGGAGTACAGTGGTATGATCTCAGCTCACTGCAATCTCTGCCTCCCGGGTTCAAGCAATTCTCCTGCCTCAGCCTCCCGAGTGGCTGGGACTACAGGCACATGCAGCCATGCCCGGTTAATTTTTGTATTTTAGTAGAGACGGGGTTTCACCTTGCTGCCCAGGCTGGTTGCGAACTCCTGGGCTCAGGCAATTTGCCCACCTTAGCCTCCCAAAGTGCTGGGATTACAGGCGTGAGCCACTGCGCCCGGCCTCCCTTTTTCTTCCAAATATAAAATGATAGCTTTACTCTCAACACTTTAATAAGGTACAATAAGATACAAGATTCGGCCAGGCGCGGTGGCTCAAGCCTGTAATCCCAGCACTTTGGGAGGCCGAGACGGGTGGATCACGAGGTCAGGAGATCGAGACTATCCTGGCTAACACGGTGAAACCCCGTCTCTACTAAAAAATACAAAAAACTAGCCAGGCGAGGTGGCGGGCGCCTGTAGTCCCAGCTACTTGGGAGACTGAGGCAGGAGAATGGCGTGAACCCGGGAGGCGGAGCTTGCAGTGAGCTGAGATCCGGCCACTGCACTCCAGCCTGGGCGACAGAGCGAGACTCCATCTCAAAAAAAAAAAAAAAAAAAGATACAAGATTCAACTGGCCAAAAAAAAAAAGATTCAACTTGCTGGGTTCAGAACATTATCACAGATTACCAGTGAATGGCTTTACAAATTTTTAAAACTAAAAATTAGCATAAAAAAATATAGATCACGGCAGCGCACAGTGGCTCAAGCCTGTAATCCCAGCACTTTGGGAGGCTAAGACGGGTGGATCACGAGGTCAGGAGATCGAGACCGTCCTGGCTAACACGGTGAAACCCCGTTTCTACTAAAAAAAAATACAAAAAAACTAGCCGGGCGAGGTGGCGGGCGCCTGTAGTCCCAGCTACTTGGGAGGCTGAGGCAGGAGAATGGCGTAAACCCGGGAGGCGGAGCTTGCAGTGAGCTGAGATCCGGCCACTGCACTCCAGCCAGGGCGACAGAGCGAGACTCCGTCTCAAAAAAAATATATAGATATACAGATAGATAGATAGATAGATAGATCGATCGATCGATCGATCACATACCATGCTCTTGTCCTTAAAATAAAGTGGATCATAATGTTCCCTTATGATCATCAATCTCTGTTTGCTTCAGAGAAGAAAACATGGAACGAGGATTGAAAATTAGAGAGCCAATAACAGTAAAACCATTCTGAAAAAGTGTCTAGCTTCAAGGAGAGTTAAGGTGAATTGAAATGTCTTAACTATATGTTAAGATTTCAAGGAATTAAACATCTTAGAAATACATAACCACATCAGTATCACCATAGAGGTAGTTAATGAGGCTGAGGAGGTTTTCTGCCTACCTACCATATTATCTTTCTCCTGATCCTGCTTCTTCAGGTAACTTAATACTGACATTATGTCTTTCTCCATTTTACATTGCTTTTTCTTTAAGTCCTCATTACTTTTTGCCAGTGTCCGTGAAGTATCACGATACTCAATCCTAGAGAGTTCTGTGATTTCCAACCTGGCCTCCCAAAGGGAGGCATTGGCCTTGGCTCTGTCCACCACAGATTCATCTGTTTTTATTAACTTCCTGCATGGGAAGAGGACATTGACAGTATATGACTATTTATACAACTCTAATATGCAGACAGTATATAACTCTACTATATTACTATTAAATTTTTCTCTTTTTAAATTTGTTTTGCTTGGCATTTCCCCTGGCACACATGAGAAAACATTGTTGGATGAATAAGTTAATAAGAAATACATATTCACATTTGAAAAATGAAAAAAAAAAATACATATTCACTCGTATTCACATAAGAGAATTAAGTAAGTGCCTCGTCCTGGAAGAGGCGAGCCCCGGAGCATAACTCGAAAAGACTGGAAAAACAAAGGGAAAAGACAGGATAAACCAAACTCATTTCATAAAGCTTTCATACCTTTTTTTTTTTTTTTTTTTTTGAGACAGGGCCTGGCTCCGTCACCGTGCTGGAGTGCAGAAGCACGATCTCGGCTCCCCACAACCCCTGCCTCCTGGGCTCAAGCCATCCACCCACCTCAGCCTCCCAAGTGGCTGGGACTACAGGATTATGCAACTATACCCAGCTAATTTTTGTATTTTTCGTAGAAATAGGTTTTTGCCATGTTGCCCAGGCTGGTCTTGAACTCCTGGGCTCAAGTGATCCTCCTACCTCAGCCTCCCAAAGTGCTGAGATTACAGGTGTGAGCCACTGCGCCTGGACAGTTTTTATATCTTTTCATTTACTTATTTGATTCTCCCATTTTTTTTTTTTTTTTTAATAGAGATGGGGTCTCACTATGTTGCCTAGGCTGTTCTCCAACTCCTGGGCTCAAGTATCCTCCCACCTCAGCCTCTTAATGTGCTGAGATTACAGGTGTGAACCAGTGCCCTGGCCTGATTCTCCTGTAGTTAAACTATCTTTTCTATTCCTACTCACTCAGTGCTGGACTTTGGTTCTCTCCACTGCAAACCCATTATCTCTGTTTATTTTCTGCATGAGTATACCCATTGGCAGTGTAACTATAATCTCCCACCCACTTCACCCTCTACTTTTGAGTTTTTTTTGTTTTTGTTTTGTTTTGTTTTTGGCTAGGTCTTGGACAAAAAGTCAAGTCACTAGGGCAAGTATGTTAAATACTTTATCAGCTGGTGCCACGGTTCACCGGACTTTTTTTTTTTTTTTTTTTTTTGAGACAAGGTCTTGCTCTGTCATCCAGGATATAGTACAGTAGCAACACACAGCTCACTGCAGCCTCGACCTCCCAGGCCCAGACAATCCTCCACCTCAACCTCCTGAGTAACTGTGACTACAGGCATGAGTTAGCATGCCCAACTAATTTTTAACAAAAATTTTTGTAGAGACAGGGTCCTCCTATGTTGTTCAGGCTGGTCTTGAACTCCTGGGCTCAAGTGATCTTCCCCCACTCAGCCTCCCAAAGTGCTGGGCATGAGCCACGATGCCCCGCCCACCAGGCTTTAAGGATGCCTGAGAAACCATAATCATTTATATAGAGGTGGAGAGGAAAAAGGAGGGATTCAAAGATTAAAGTGGTAAAGGAAGAGATTTTTCTAAATATTTATTGTATGAGCATTAACAAAACACTACTCCTTATATATGGTAGGTACCATGATATACAAATACGTACACAATATTTAAGAATATTTCACCTGTATTTGAATTCTAAATATTTTCACACATATGTATATGTGGACCTTTCTATACTGCCACCCTCCACATCCACTTTCCTACCTCTGGTTCTCAGTCCTCTTCCACAGAGGTAATGGGTTTGCAGTGGAGAGAGCCAAAGTCCCAGTTTCACCTTTTGTTCTCTTCAAATTAAGGCCAGCTCCATTCCCAACCCCTCAGCCTGTTATAACTCTTGATGTCCCTTTCTGGTATGATTTAGGCACTGGTGATACACCATCTCACTACGACCATCCAGGTATCAAATTTAAGTGGCTCAAAGTACTTGATGTGACAGGGCATGGTAGCTCAAGGCTGTCATCCCAGCACTTTGGGAGGCCGAGGCGGGTGGATCACCTGAAGTCAGGAGTTCAAGACTAGCCTGGCCAACATGGTGAAACCCTGTCTCCACTAAAAATAAAAAAATTAGCTGGGCGTGGTGACGGGTGCCTGTAATCCCAGCTACTCAGGAGGCTGAGGCAGAATAATTGGTTGAACCCAGGAGGCAGAGGTTGCAGTGAGCCAAGATCACGCCATTGCACTCCAGCCTGGGCAACAAGAGCAAAACTTGGTCTCAAGGAAAAAAAAAAAAAAAGTACTTGATGCAAGAAATTAGACACTCTAATAGGACCACTTATACTCACTGTAGAAACAAAGCCAGGTTTCTCAAACAATGGGTCATGGAAAATCCAAGGAATAAGGTCTCTTACTGTCAGTGTTCCTCATTGTTCAAATGTGTACTGTAGAAGCATGGTCAAAATCTGAAAACATATGTGAGTGAGTTCTAGGAATGTGATAAGCCCTTGGCACTTTAAGTGCTAGACAAACTGTGCAGCTATGTAAAAACAACAACAACAAAAAAACCCATAAGATAATACTTACATTAATACATGGGAAGAAAAAAGTCACATATAAGTATGTACATTGGGCTATCATTTTATTAAAAAATAAAATAATACTCCAAAATATAGTAGTGTTTATTTTTGGATAATGAGACTACAGGTTATTATTGTTTTCTCTTTTGGTACTTCCCATGTTTCCCAAACTTTCTGTATTGAGCATGAATTACTCTCTTAAGTTACTTTACAAACATCTCAAGTTTGGTGCCAACTCTGTGTTCCCATATATGATATTGCTGCACACCACATAGGACTCCAACGTGTCCAGAAACCACCGGGGTCCCCCAACAGGGCTAGTAGCAATCTAGCAGCAACTCCAGGCCTGTAAGGGGTTAGTGCTAGAACATTACCCACCTCAGTGGCTCGGATCAGTTTGGGAAAACCTCAACAATTACCCAACTTGGTAAAATACTTCAGGTGTCCCCTTTGAACCAAAAGAGATCTCTGAAAATGCCCAAGGAAATACTTTATACATCCGCTACACGTTTAAGATCATCTGAACCACATAGTAGAGATGTGTCAGACTATGGACATGGGAACTGTAATCCTCACAAGCCGGGAGAACCAAGAGGGTCCGAGGGGGCCGGCGCGGGGGGCGCCAGGTAGCCAGCCCCAGACCCGAAATCTCAGGCAGGCCCAGGGAGAGGGGGACTCTCGCGCGGCTTCTCCTTACTTAGTGTCTTTGCCTCTGCTCTTGCCTTTCTTTTTGTCCTTTCCCTTCGACGGCATCTTGGCTTCCCCAGCGGCTCCGCTGTAGTCGTTGCCCAGCCGCCGCCACCCTGGCCGGCTCCGTCTCCAAGGGAACCTGGAAGCCGAACGGGCAACGCCCGGCCCCCGCCGCTGACGGCGCGCGGAGAGCGCACGCGCCCGTGACGTGGCCCAGACGCCGCCGCGCGCGGGGCGGGGCGGAGGTCGCGCCGAGGGCGGCGGGCTGCCGCGCCAGGGTGGCGCGCGCGCGGTGAGTGTGCGAGAGTCGGCGGCTCCTGATCTTCTGTGTGGGGCCCGGGCTCCGCGGGCGGGAGGCGCGAGCTGGCAGCCCCGGGCGGTAGCGCTCCGTCCTGCGGCCCGGGTGTGTCAGGAGTCGCCGCGGTCGGGGCACCCTTGCTTCAGGAAGCTTAGATCCCCGCTGGTCCGCCCGCCCCGCCGCGGTGGTCTGAGCCGCAGCCCTTTTCCGTGCCTCCACGCCGCAGCCAGCGTGACCGCCGCTGCCAGCTCTCGCCACCGCTCCGCCTCCGCCGCTCCCGGCACTGCCCGACTTCTTTGAGTTCCATCCCTTTCCTGGCTTTTCATCCTTGCTGATTCTGTAAGGGATAGCGCAGCCAGCGGACGTCCCAGGCCAAACGTTTTTTGATAGGCTGTTGATGACTTTCCCGAGGGCGGTGGTTGGGGGCGAGGCTGCCTGCCTCCCAACAGCAGCAGCACGCCAGGGAGCCGGCAGGGAGGGGAGTGCTGCCACCGAGGTCAGGAGCAGGGTCCTGGGCCTCATTAGGTCCTGTGTGGCCGATACTTCCCGCCCACGACCGTCCCCCGGATTTCCATTTGCTAATACCTCACCCGTCCGTAGCCTTCTTTCCTCAAAGTTGCATAAAGTTGAAAGCTCTTCAACTTGCCTCCCCGACTCCTGAAATCCTGAATACACCTCTGAAAAGGAGTGTACTCACAAGTATTCTCATTTTTCAATTAGACTCAGTTAGTCATTAAGAAAGATACGGTATTCTGAGTGTCAAGCCAATAGGAGACTTGTGGTTGAAGCTCTGCTCTGTGTTATACTCCATTTCAATTTAAAAAGTTTATTTTAAATGTCGTTGTAGATCCTTCCTCACCATTTCTCTATGGAGGACTTAATTCGTACACCCCTTCCCGAGGTCTTTGACCTCTAATTACTCCCCCCCACTTTGTTTGCCACTTGCATGATTTCTGTTTCTGAATTTCTGTTTCTGCTCTGAGGGAACATGCCGATTTGGTAATGATAAGTCATGTAAACTTTTTTTTTTTTTTTTATGAGACAGTCTCCTGTCGCCCAGGCTGGAGTGCAGTGGGGCATCTCAGCTCCCTGCAACCTCCACCTCCTGGGTTCAAGGATTCTCCTGCCTCAGCCTCCCCAGTAACTAGGACTACAGGTGCATGCCATCACACCCAGCTAATGTTTGTATTTTTGGTAGAGATGGAGTTTCACCATGCTGGCCAGGCTGGTCTCGAACTCCTGGCCTCTGGTGATCCACCCACCTCGGCCTCCCAAAGTGTTGAAATTACAGGTGTGAGCCACCGCCCCTGGCTGTAAACCTTTTTTTTTTTTTTCCCTGAGACGGAGTCTCGCTCTTGTTGCCCAGGCTGGAGTGCAATGGCGCGATCTCGGCTCACCACAACCTCCACCTCCCGGGTTCAGGCGATTCTCCTGCCTCAGCCTCTCGAGTAGCTGGGATTAAAGGCGCACACCACCATCCCTGGCTAATTTTGTATTTTTAGTAGAGACAGGGTTTCACCATGTTGGTCAGGCTGGCATAAACCTTTTTATACATACCATCTGTCAGCATGATCATGGCTTTTTCTTTCTTTCTTTTTTTTGTTGAGAGGGAGTTTCTCTCTTGTTGCCCACCCAGGCTGGAGTGCAATAGCACAATCTCGGCTCACCACCACCTCCACCTCCCGGATTCAAGCAATTCTCCTGCCTCAGCCTCCCGAGTAGCTGGGATTACAGGCGTGCGCTACCACGCCCGGCTACTTTTATATTTTTAGTAGAGATGGGGTTTCTCCGTGTTGGTCAGGCCAGTCTCGAACTTCTGACCGAAGGTCAACCGCCCGCCTTGGCCTCCCAAAGTGCTGGAATTACAGGCGTGAGCCACCGCGCCTGGCTGATCATGGCTTTTTCTGACTGTATCTCTGGTACATTTTCACACTCCCGTGAAGCCATAGGTGGAATCGCCATATATTGAAGGGGTTATCTCTGATATAAAATCTATACAGTTACTATTTTGTATGTGTAAGGTTCTGAAAAAGCACACTGTTGATAAGCTGCAGAAAAGAGAGTAGGGCATCTTCTGTCACAGGCTGTATATTCGGAATTTATTCTAGAAATTGGTAACTTTATTTTTTTTGAGGTGGAGTCTTGCTCTGTAGCCTAGGTTGGAGTGCAGTGGTGCTATCTAGGCTCACTGCAAGCTCCGCCTCCTGGGTTCATGCCGTTCTCCTGCCTCAGCCTCCCCAGCAGCTGGGACTACAGGCGACTACAGGCGCACACCGCCACGCCCGGCCAATTTTTTGTAATTTTAGTAGAGATCAGGTTTCACCGTATTAGCCAGGATGGTCTCGATCTCCTGACCTTGTGATCCTCCTACCTCGGCCTCCCAAAGTGCTGGGATTACAGGTGTGAGCCACCTAGCCCGGCCAGAAATTGGTAACTTTATAATATGAAAGTCAGTTCAAGACTCCTTATTTGAACGTAGGCTTATAGATTAATTTATAAACAAAAATTTGACTATAACGATTATTAATATATGCGTAGTACCTTAGTTATAGTACTTTATCGTTTCTTTTATTGGTTTTGGGGTTTTTTGGTGGTTTTCTTGAGATAGGGTCTTACTCTTGCCCATGCTGGAGTACAGTAGCAGCGTCATGGCTCCTTACAGCTTCGACCTCCTGGACTCAAGTCTCTGGCATGCACCTCAGCCTCTGGCATGCACCACCACGCCTGGCTAATTTTGTATTTTTTGTAGAGACAGGGTTTTGCCATGTTGCCCAGGCAGGTCTTGAACTCCTGAGCTCAAGTGATCCTCCTGCCTTTGCCTCCCAAAGTGCCGGGATTACAGGCATGAGCAGCCACACCTGACCTAGTTTATTTTATTGTATATATTTTTTATTGACTAAGTTTGATTTTGTAGATAAAGCTGTTGTGACATGAATATGACTCAGAGAAATGCCAAGATTTCATACTCTGGTAGAGGTGGGTCTAGAGTCTACAGTCTTCTGAATTCCCTCATTTTCTACCAAAGAACTGAATGTTGTTACTGTCATCTGCTGGTGAGCAACAACTGATAGTATGGATAGTAGAGTAGGAAGTTGCTATTTAGTAGTTCATGTGGTAGCATTTCCTTCCACAGCTACTGGTAGGTGCCTTTACTGTGAAGTTTCGCGAATTATTACTAAATAAATTTGCCTTGTTTCATTGTTTAGAACACTAATGCTTTTAAACTTGGAATAAACCCACTTCTTGTTTTGTTGACTTGGTTTTGTAATTCTTTTTCTGTCCAGTTTTCCTTGTTCCTGGTCAACAAAGAAATGTGGAGTGTCTTGGCTGAATCCTCATACAGACAAGATCATTATGGTGCTGTTAGGTAGGACTTGTATCCAGATGTAAGGTAATATCTCCACCAGCTTAAAGTTGTAAATGTATTTCAAATGCTCCTGAATGGTGGTTTTCTTTTTTTCCTGAATTTAATTCTCTATTATTTTGCCAGGTGATGTTAATTTTGTTCAATAAACCATATATAAAATCTAGAACTATTATGTATCAAAATAGATAGAACTTCTGGCTGGACATGGTGGTTCATGCCTGTAATCCTAACACTTTGGGAGGCCAAGGCAGGTGGATTGCTTAAGCCCAATTCAAGACCAGTCTGGACAACATGGCAAAACCCTGTCTTTACAAAAAGTACAAAAATTAACCGGGTGTGGTGACATGTACCTGTAGTTCCAGCTTACTCAGGAATCTGAGTTCAGAGGATCACCTGAGCCCAGGGAGGTCAAGGCTTCAGTGAGCCGTGATTGTGCCACTGTATTCCAGCCTGAGCAATAGTGTGATTCTTTCTCCAAAAAAAAAAAAAGGGCGGGGGTGCGGGGAGAGGGTGGGTAGTACTTCTGCTTGTTTCTTCTAGTAACTCCAGAACCGGGTTTACTTTATAAACTCATCTGTAACTTTATTTGGGTTTACCTTAGAAGCCATGTTTCTCTTCATAAATCATTCTTGAAATCACCTTATAGCAGATGGTACTTTATAGGTAGAACCGACTAAGTGAACAGCTTTAGATTTTGTTTTTACATAGCCTTTAGAATCCTAAATAAATATATTATTATCCAAACTGTACTAAAGGGAATAATCAGTGTTTCTCTTGGGAGTTACTTTTTTTTTTTTTTTTTTTGAGAGGTAGTCTTGCTCTTTCGCCCAGGCTATAGTGCAATGGCACAATCGTGTCTCACTTCAGCCTCCACCTCGCAGATTCAAGTGATTCTCCTGCCTCAGCCTCCCGAGTAGCTGGGATTACAGGCACCTGCCACCATGTCTGGCTAATTTTTGTATTTTAGTAGAGATGGGGTTTCACCATGTTGGCCAGGCTGGTCTTGAACTCCTCACCTCCGGTGATCTGCCTGCCTTGGCCTCCCAAAGTGCTGGGATTACAGGCTTGAGCCACCCACACCTGGCCAGGAGTTACTTTCATCCTGCTTTTTTATTGCATGTGCTGCAAATATAGAATTCTACTAAATTGACATTTTCTTGTGATATTAAGACTAGTTCAGATCTCTGCAGGGGCATTTTAAGAAATCCTGGTGGTCAAGGATTTAATCTTATCACTTTTAGATAAATTTTAAAAATTTAAAGCATTCACTGTTTTACTTATATACAAGATACATTACCACAGATAATTATTTATTTATTTAATTTATTTGTTTATGAATGAATGACAGGGTCTCACTATGTCACCCAGGCTGGAGTGCAGTGGTGCAATCATGACTCACTGCAGCCTCAACCTTCTGGGCTCAAGCAATTCTCCCACGTCAGTCTCCTGAGTAGCTGGGACCACAGGTTCATGCCACCATGCCCAGCTAACTTTTTCTTTTTTTTTTTTTTTGGTTAAGACTGGGTCTCACTATGTTGCTCCTGGGCTCAAATGGTTCTCCTACCTCAGCCTCCCAAAGTGCTGGGATTATAGTTGTGAGCCACCATCCTTGGCCATATATTTTTGAGATGGGGTTTTGTTATGTTGCCCAGGCTGAACTTAAGCTCCTGAGCTCAAGAGATCCTCCTACCTCAGCTTCCCAAGTAGCTGGGACTACAGGCGTGCACCACTATGCCTACAAATAATTATTAACTACTGTTACTTTATTTGCAAAATATCCCATTTTTATTAGTTGTCCATCCCAACAGAGCCACAGACTAAAAGTTGTCTAAGAAAACTTACCTGGACTGGGCACAGTGACTCACATCTGTAATCCTAGCACTTCGGGAGGCCGAGGTAGGAGGATTGCTTGAGCCCGGGATTTTGAGACTGGCCTGAACAACATAACAAGATCCTGTCTCTAATTTTTTAAAAAATCAAAGAAAAATTACCCAAATTTTAGGTCCACTTGTCTGCATTTTCATGTCATGGATCTGTCAAACGTTCATTCTTTTAAGAAACATTTAATGAGGCTGGGCGCGGTGGCTCACGCCTGTAATCCCAGCACTTTGGGAGGCCGAGGCGGGCGGATCATGAGGTCAGGAGATCGAGACCATCCTGGCCAACACAGTGAAACCCCGTCTCTAATAAAAATACACAAAATTAGCCGGGCGTGGTGGCAGGCGCCTGTAGTCCCAGCTACTCGGGAGACTGAGGCAGGAGAATGGCGTGAACCCGGGGGGCGGAGCTTGCAGTGAGCCGAGATCACACCACTGCACTCCAGCCTGGGCGACAGAGCGAGACTCCATCTCAAAAAAAAGAAAAGAAACATTTAATGAATACCAACTGTATAACAACCTGTCTGATAACTTGATGGGTACAGTAAGGAACAAGAGAAGGCCCTTGCCCTCAAGTTGTTTACAGTCAGATGTGTAAAGCTCTGACCTGGATGTTGATCTCTGAGAATATACAACCTCATTGTCACCCATCCACAAACACTTAACAGTAAACAGTACCAAGCAGGGATTGATAAAGGAGAGACGGTGTAGACTAGGGGTGTCCAATCTTTTGGCTTCCTTGGGCTACATTGGAAGAAGAAAAATTGTCTTGAGTCACACATAAAATATACTAACACTAATGATAGCTGATGAAGTTAAAAAAAAATCACAAAAAAGATCTCATAATATTTTAAGAAAGTTTACGAATTTGTGTTGGGCTGCATTCAAAGCCGTCCTGGGCTGCATGCGGCCCATGGGCTGTGGGTTGACTAAGCTTGGCCCAAACCCTAGGTGCTATTGACTTTGGAGGCATTTAAGACTGTCGTAGTCAGGGAAAGTTTACAGAAGGAGATGGACTGAAAGCAGAGGGAAGTTCATCTGGGAAGTTAGAACAATGTGAGCACAATTCAGAGTATGCTTAAACTCGAGCATTGTTTCCTAAAGTGTGGTCCACAGACCGGTAGCATCAGCATCATCTGGTAACTTATTAGAACTGCAGTTTCACAGGCCCCACCTGAGACCTACTGAATCAGAAATACTGGCAATGAGGCCCAGCAATCTGTGCCCTCCAGGTGGTTCTGATGCATGCTAAAGTTTCAGAACCACTAGACGAGAGCAGAGGGTTATTGTATGGAATGAGTAGGCCAAAAACTCTAAAAAGGCAGGCTGGGAACTCATTGTAAACGACTTAGAATGTCAGGCAGGGAATCTGTCTTTTATCCTGCAGACTAGAGCCACCAGCTTGTGACTTGGCTGGATTTGGCTCATAGAATGTGTTTTCTTTGGCCTGAAAGGTGGGTTTTTGGGGGATTTTAAATGGAATTAGTTGTCATCATTTAAAAATCAGCAGATTTTACAAAGAAATCTGTGCTTTCAGCTTACCTTGAAAAATCAGAAGACCTGGCAGAATGGGGCCTATGTTCCATTATGGTAGCAATTGGTGGGAATAGCAAGAAGCCACACCTTCAGATGGGACACATGCTCTCCAGTTTACCACAGTCGCTACCAGTTCCTTTTGTCTTACACACACCTTTACTTATTTACATTTCCTGCCCTTTGCCTGTAGGTATTTGAGTTTGTAACTTCTGTTGTGGACAGTGAGACATTAATGAAAATTTTGAGAAGCAGAATGACGAGATTTATGTATTTGTAAATTTATTTTTTTATTTTTTTTTTTTTTTGGAGACGGAGTCTCGCTCTGTCACCCAGGCTGGAGTGCAGTGGCCGGATCTCAGCTCACTGCAAGCTCCGCCTCCCAGGTCTACGCCATTCTCCTGCCTCAGCCTCCCGAGTAGCTGGGACTACAGGCGCCCGCCACCTCGCCCGGCTAGTTTTTTGTATTTTTTAGTAGAGACGGGGTTTCACCGTGTTAGCCAGGATGGTCTCGATCTCCTGACCTCGTGATCCGCCCGTCTCGGCCTCCCAAAGTGCTGGGATTACAGGCTTGAGCCACCGCGCCCGGCCTGTAAATTTATTTAACAAACATTAAACAAACATATATGCCAGATGGTACTCTGTTAAGTAATCAGTGTTCAAAGATGAATGAGTCGCAGCTAGCACCAGTGGCTCATGCCTATAATCCCAGCACTTTGGGAAGCCAAGGCTGGTGGATCACTTGAGGTCAGGAGTTCAAGACCAGCCTGGCCAACATAATGAAACCCCCTCTCTACTAAAAATAAAAAATTAGCCAGGGATGATGGTGGGCACCTGTAATCCCAGCTACTCGGGAGGCTGAGGCAGGAGAATTGCTTGAACCTGGGTGGCGGAAGTTGCAGTGAGCCAAGATCATGCCATTGCACTCCAGCCTGGGCAACAGAGCAAGATGCCATCTCAAAAATAAATAAATAAATAAATAAAGTTTACTTTGGAGACCCTACAGTTAGAATTTATAACATTGGTTGCATGAGTCATATCCATAATTCAAATCCTGTCTTCAATGTGTCATCTTCAGATTTATGTTGTGTAGGTAAGTTTAACTTTTTTGTTCCTGAGGGAATAGAAAATAATATATAAACTCAAATTCTTCAAGTGATTCTTTCACCTTAGTCTCCCAAAGTGCTGGGAGTATAGGTGTGAGCCACCAAGCCCCCATCTGCTTGGTCCCTTTTAACCACATACTCGTGCGTGTAATAGTAGCTACTCATTGATTATATTGTGGAACATATGGCTGGCATTTTATTTTATTTTATTTTATTATTTTTTTTTTTTTTGAGACGGAGTCTCGCTGTCACCCAGGCTGGAGTGCAGTGGCCGGATCTCAGCTCACTGCAAGCTCCGCCTCCCAGGTCTACGCCATTCTCCTGCCTCAGCCTCCCAAGTAGCTGGGACTACAGGCGCCCGCCACCTCGCCCGGCTAGTTTTTTGTATTTTTTAGTAGAGACGGGGTTTCACCGTGTTAGCCAGGATGGTCTCGATCTCCTGACCTCGTGATCCGCCCGTCTCGGCCTCCCAAAGTGCTGGGATTACAGGCTTGAGCCACCGCGCCCGGCCTGTAAATTATTTAACAAACATTAAAAAACATATATGCAGATGGTACTCTGTTAAGTAATCAGTGTTCAAAGATGAATGAGTCGCAGCTAGCACCAGTGGCTCATGCTATAATCCCAGCACTTTGGGAAGCCAAGGCTGGTGGATCACTTGAGGTCAGGAGTTCAAGACCAGCCTGGCCAACATAATGAAACCCCCTCTCTACTAAAAATAAAAAATTAGCCAGGGATGATGGTGGGCACCTGTAATCCCAGCTACTCGGGAGGCTGAGGCAGGAGAATTGCTTGAACCTGGGTGGCGGAAGTTGCAGTGAGCCAAGATCATGCCATTGCACTCCAGCCTGGGCAACAGAGCAAGATGCCATCTCAAAAATAAATAAATAAATAAATAAAGTTTACTTTGGAGACCCTACAGTTAGAATTTATAACATTGGTTGCATGAGTCATATCCATAATTCAAATCCTGTCTTCAATGTGTCATCTTCAGATTTATGTTGTGTAGGTAAGTTTAACTTTTTTGTTCCTGAGGGAATAGAAAATAATATATAAACTCAAATTCTTCAAGTGATTCTTTCACCTTAGTCTCCCAAAGTGCTGGGAGTATAGGTGTGAGCCACCAAGCCCCCATCTGCTTGGTCCCTTTTAACCACATACTCGTGCGTGTAATAGTAGCTACTCATTGATTATATTGTGGAACATATGGCTGGCATTTTATTTTATTTTATTTTATTATTTTTATTTTTTTTGAGACGGAGTCTCGCTGTCACCCAGGCTGGAGTGCAGTGGCCGGATCTCAGCTCACTGCAAGCTCTGCCTCCTGGGTTTTACATCATTCTCCTGCCTCAGCCTCCCAAGTAGCTGGGACTACAGGCGCCCACCACCTCGCCCGGCTAGTTTTTTTTTTTTTTTTTTTTTTTGAGACAGAGTCTAGCTCTGTCGCCCAGGCTGGAGTGCAGTGGCCGAATCTCAGCTCACTGCAAGCTCCGCCTCCCTGATTTATGCCATTCTCCTGCCTCAGCGTCCTGAGTAGCTGGGACTACAGGTGCCCACCACCTCGCTCGGCCAGTTTTTTGTATTTTTTAGTAGAGACAGGGTTTCACCGTGTTAGCCAGGATGATATCGATCTCCTGACCTCGTGATCCGCCCGTCTTGGCCTCCCAAAGTGCTGGGATTACAGGCTTGAGCCACCGCGCCCGGCCTGGCTGGCATTTTAGCAGCAAAAAAAGACTTCACATCTCAGCTCACTGCAGCTTCAACCTCCCACATTCAAGCAATCCTCCTGTCTCAGCCTCCCAAGTAGCTGGGACTACAGGCACATGCCACCACACCTGGCTAATTTTTTGTATATTTTGTAGAGATGTGGTTTCGCCATGTTGCCCAGGTTGGTCTCAAACTCCTGAGCTCAAGCTAACTGCCTGCCTTGACTTCCCAAAGTGCCAGGATTATAGGCATGAGTTACCACATCCAGTCTGTGTACTTTACTTACGAATTAGCTCTTTAGGCTTCTTTTGCCTTCTCCACCTTTACACACACATATACACCAGCTTCTAGAGGGAGTGTGACTTGCGTCTCTTGCTGTTGGTGACTTTTTTTTTTTTTTTTTTTTTTTTTGGAGACGGAGTCTCGCTCTGTCGCCCAGGCTGGAGTGCAGTGGCCGGATCTCAGCTCACTGCAAGCTCCGCCTCCCGGGTCTACGCCATTCTCCTGCCTCAGCCTCCCGAGTAGCTGGGACTACAGGCGCCCGCCACCTCGCCCGGCTAGTTTTTTGTATTTTTTTAGTAGAGACGGGGTTTCACTGTGTTAGCCAGGATGGTCTCGATCTCCTGACCTCGTGATCCGCCCGTCTCGGCCTCCCAAAGTGCTGGGATTACAGGCTTGAGCCACCGCGCCCGGCCTTGGTGACTTTTTAAATGAGCTGGATGTGTGGTAAAGTAGCTGAGGTTGTAATTTGAGTGAGAAGAAAGTGTAGGGGAGGAGAAAGAGCAGGAGGGCATTAGATTACAAGTCAGGAGATGAGCTTGATGATGTGGATTCCAAAGCCTGGAAAGATTAGAAATGAAAATGTAGAAGAGATAACTGAGTCAAAAATAGGCATACTGACAGCAGAGAAAAAAAGGAAACTGTTCTCATAATTATTCATTTCCATCTTACACAGGTTGAAAAAGTGATATAATAGTTAAAGGAACAAAGGAGAAAATTCAGAAGGAAAGAAAAAATTGGTAAGTAACATATATAATACTTCACTTTTTCTTAGGTCAGATTTCTGCAATTTCTGCTTTGTTGTTCCTAGCTGAGAGATCACAGTAGATGGAAAAGGGTCCACAAGGCACTGAAAGAGCTGTCACAAAGTCCAGTAGCCTTATTCTGTTGGAGAGGCCCTCATTTGCTTATGTTGACTTGAAATTCTAATAATTATGGCTTATATATAATAATAATTATGGCTGATTTACATCCTACAACAGATTTAAAAAGAAAATTAGGAGGTAATGGTGGTTTATTGAAGGAGTTGGGCACATGACAATACTGATCAGTGATAATAGATAGCATGATGTCAGAAAAAACTAGCTCAGAAAGGATAGCAAGCTGGGACCATTTGGTGACAGAAGGGCAAACAGTCCTATAGACCTACTGTAGCCCTTGGAAGCATCTCAGTTTTACAGGAAAACATAACTGATAATCATAATCATGACTCTGAACTATAAATAAAAGGTGGTATTCCCTGTGGGAAATTATATAATTCATAATGGAAACACTTTTTTTTTTTTTTTTGAGATGGAGTTTTGCTCTTGTTGCCCAGGCTGGAGTGCAATGGCTCAATCACAGCTCACTGCAACCTCCGCCTCCCGGGTTCAAGTGATTCTCCTGCCTCAGCCTCCCGAGTAGTTGGGATTACAGGCATGGGCCACCATGCCCGGTTAGTTTTATATTTTTAGTAGAGTCGGAGTTTCTCCACGTTGGTCAGGCTGGTCTCAAACTCCCGACCTCAGGTGATCCACCCGCCTCGGCCTCCCAAAGTGCTAGGATTACAGGTGTGAGCCGCCACGCCTGGCCGAAAACACTTTTACCAAACACTGTTAAAGTGTTATAGTGGAGCCAGGTATGGTGGCTCATGCTTGTAATCCCTTGAGAGGTTTGGGACGTGGGAGGCTGAAGCTGGAGGATCACTTGAGTCCAGGAGTTTGAGACCAGCCTGGGCAACATAGCGAGACTTCTTTCTCTATAAAAAAAATTGAAAACATGGCCAGGTACGGTGGCTCACGCCTGTAATGCCAACACTTTGGGAGGCTGAGCCGGGCAGATCACAAGGTCAGAAGATCGAGACCATCCTGGCTAACACGGTGAAACCCCGTCTCCACTAAAAATACAAAAAATTAGCCAGGTATGGTGGCAGACGCCTGTAGTGCCAGCTACTCGGGAGGCTGAGGCAGGAGAATGGCGTGAACCCAGGAGGCGGAGCTTGCAGTGAGCCAAGATCACGCCTCTGCATGCCATCCGGCCTGGGCAACTCAGTGAGACTCTGTCTCAAAAAACAACAACAACAAAAATAATTGAAAACACATAAAAATTATCTGGGCGCAGTGGTTCATGCCTGAAGTCCCAGCTCTCTGGGAGGTTGAAGCAGGAGGATTGCAGGAGTTCAAGGCTACAGTGAGCTGTGATTGTTCCATTGCACTCCAGCCTGGGTGACAGAGCAAGACCTTGTCAATAAAAATAAGTTTTTTTTAAAACCCGAAGTTTCTTTGGTATTTAGAAGGAAAGCATCTTGAAGGCAGATTTGGTGGGGGAAAGACAAATTTGGGAAAATGAAATTATGGGGAACCACTATTCCTTCCTTTATACATGAAACTATCATTGTAATATTTTTATCTTTCTCATGTTTTTCATTTTGATTTAACTGTTTGAAGCAGTAGCTATTTCTCAGTTGATGACAAGAAAGAGAAAATGTTTTATTCTCTTCCCAAAGTTAAAATCCAATATAAACGGTGCCCAGTGGCACTGATCCTAGTGGCAGTTACTCTTCTGTACATAGTGCCTCCCACAGTGGATATGGGTTTCGAGGCAGACAGAGCTCATCACCTCAGATTTTCATTCTGTTTTTTCACTGGGGCAATATGAACCCCCTCCTGATTGATATCTTCTTATCTAAAGGACTTTGATTCTTAATGAATGGGCAGGAAAAGACCTCCTAATATGTGAAGAAAGAGAGGCAACAATAGCAACAGCTTTCCTGAGGAGTGATTATTGTAGTGAAGTCAACCCTGAAACAATGGAGAATGAGGTCATGCCTGACTCATTTTGTTATTGTACCCAAATGAGTTCATTGTGCAGAATGGGCTTTCTTGACACTTGTCTAATGACGTTTTGATTAAAATGAAATAATGTGCATACAAAAATGACCTGTTTACAGGAAAGAATTATGTATTTGTTGGTAACTACCAGTGACATCAATTCTCATTTCTTAATTGGCAGATACAGTATTTGATTTTAGGGTTAGACTTTAAAGGATATATCCAGCCAGGCATGGTGGTATGAGCCTATAATTCAAGCTACTTGGAAGGCTGAGGTGGGAGGATCACTAGGCTCAGGAGTTTGAGACCAGTCTGGTCTCAAGAAAGAAGACCCTGTCTCAAGAAAGAAAAAATAAAAGGCTAGGCCAGACGTGGTGGCTCACGCCTGTAATCCCAGCACTTTGGGAGGCTGAGGCAGGCAGATCACAAGGTCAGATCGAGACCCTCCTGGCTAACACAGTGAAACCCCATCTCTACTAAAAATACAAAAAAAATTAGCCGGGCGTGGTGGCCGGAGCCCGTAGTCCCAGCTACTCGGGAGGCTGAGGCGGGAGAATGGCATGAACCCACGGGAGGTGGAGGTTGCAGTGAGCCAAGATCGTACCACACTGCACTCCAGCCTGGGCAACAGAGCGAGACTCTGTCTCAAAAAAAAAAGAAAAGAAAAAAATAAAAAATAAATGGCTATATCATTCAACTAGCCCTCTGATCTGTGAATCTATTCTGGAAACATGATCAGATTTGGAGCAAGGACCCTTCCCTCCCTACCAGTTTGAGACAGCTCATATTGTTGGAAGTTCATTCTGTTCAGTCTCTTCCCCAGGAGGTTGCATGTTCACTGGTCTTATTGTATGTAAGTCCTTGACAATGATCTAAGAAAACCTGAGTTTAAAAAAAATTTTTTTTCTTTGTCCGGGGTGGTGGCTTATGCTTGTAATCTTAGCACTTTGGGAAGCTAAGGTGGGCGCATCACTTGAGGTCAGGAGTTCAAAACCAGCCTGGCCAACATAGTGAAACGCCATCTTTACTAAAAATACAAAAAAATTAACTGAGTGTGGTGGTGGGTGCCTATAATCCCATCTTCTTGAGAGGGTGAGGTAGGAGAATCACTTGAACCTGGGAGGTGCAGGTTGCACTGAGCCGAGATCACACCACTGCACTCCAGCCTTGGCGACGGAATGAGACTCCATCTCAAAAAAAAATAAAATTTTTTTTCAACACAAGGTCTCACTTTGTTACCAAGGCTGGAGTACAGTGGTGCAATCACAGCTCACCACAGCCTCAAACTCCTGGGCTCAGGAGATCTTCCTGCTTTACCCTCCAGAGTAGCTGAGACTACAGGTGTGTGTCCACCATGCTCAGCTCAAAAGCTGACTTTTAAATAAACCTTTTTATTAGTTTTGTTGACTTGAAAAATATTGCTATAAAATTTTTCTATGGTTTTCAAATCTGTTCCAGTTGTCAGTCTTGTCCCTTTTCACCAAATACCTCTTCAGTACCTTTTTTTTTTCCCCCCAAGATAGAGTCTTGCTCTGTCACCTAGACTGGAGTGCAGTGGCATGATCTCAGCTCACTGCAACCTCTGCCTCCCAGGTTCAAGCAATTCTCCTGCCACAGCCTCCTGAGTAGCTGGGACTACAGGCATGCACCACCACACCCAGCTAATTTTATATATATATATATATATATTTTTTTTTTTTTTTAATTATACTCTAAGTTCTAAGGTACATGTGCACAACGTGCAGGTTTGTTACATATGTATACATGTGCCATGTTGGTGTGCTGCCCCCATTAACTCGTCATTTACATTCGGTATATCTCCTAATGCTATCCCTCCCCCCCAATTTTTTATATTTTTTGTAGAGACGGGGTTTCATCATGTTAGCTAGGATGATCTTGATCTGATCTCGTGATCCGCCCTCCTTGGCCTCCCAAAGTGCTGGGATTACAGGCGTGGGCCACCGCGCCCGACCGTACCTAATTTTTTTTTTTTTGAGACGGAGTCTTGCTCTGTCTCCCAGGCTGGAGTGCAGTGTCATGATCTTGGCTAACTGCAACCTCCGCCCCCTGGGTTCAAACGATTCTCCTACTTCAGTCTCCTAAGTAGCTGGGATTACAGGTGTGCACCACCACACCCAGCTAATTTTTTTAGTTTTAGTAGAGATGGGAATTTGCCATGTTGGCCAAACTGGTCTTGAACTCCTGACCTTCAGTGATCCGCCCCCCTCGCCCTCCCAAAATGTTGAGATTATAGGCATGAGTCACCACGCCTGGCCAGTTGTTCATTTTTAAGAGTTAATATCGGCCGATGTGGTGGCTCACACCTATAATCCTAGCATGTTGAGAGGCCGAGGTGGAGGATTGCTTGAGGCCAGGAGTTTGAGAGCAATCTGACCAACATAGTGAAATCCTGCCTATATTTCTTTTCTTTTTTTTTTTTTTGAGACTGAGTCTCGCTCTTTTGCCCAGGCAGGCATGAGCCACCGCACCTGGCTTATTTCTTTTTTTTTTTTTTTTCTTTTTTTTTTGGAGACTGAGTTTCACTCTGTCGCCCAGGCTGGAGTGCAATGGTGCGATCTCGGCTTACTCCAACCTCCGCCTCCCGGGTTCAAGCGATTCTCCTGCCTCAGCCTCCCAAGTAGCTGGGATTACAGGCATATGCCACCACGCCCAGCTAACCTGTCTTATTTCTATATATTATTTTTTCTTTTTTTTTTTTTTTTTTTTTGAGACGGAGTCTCGCTCTGTCCCCCAGGCTGGAGTGCAGTGGCTGGATCTCAGCTCACTGCAAGCTCTGACTCCCGGGTTCACGCCATTCTCCTGCCTCAGCCTCCCGAGTAGCTGGGACTACAGGCACCCGCCACCTCGCCCGGCTAGTTTTCTGTATTTTTTAGTAGAGACGGGGTTTCACCGTATTAGCCAGGATGGTC